CTTTTTGTCGGGGATGGATGCAGCTGCTTCTTTTGGAGAGCCGCTGTCCAAAGCTGCTAAGTTGGACCCTGTATACGGAGAACCGGAGCTCCGGAAGGATTTCAAGAACTTCAGGGAAGGGGGTTCTCCGGTGAAGGCTAATGACAAGAGCGACATGTGGAGTCTGGGTGCCCTCCTCTATGAAGTTTTAACTGGCCGCTCTTTTCAAAGTTTGGTTGTGAATGGTGAATTCGACGAGACCAGCAGAAGGACAGCTGCACATGAGTTGGCGCATTCGGGTGTACGGTCTGCGTGGAAAGATCTTGTCCTCCAGCTATTAGAGTTAAATAGAGAAAAACGCATCTCTGCTGTGGAGATCTCACACCGTCTTAGGAACTTCCTTTCTGTGGGACCATACTGAGTGTGGTACAGCGTCGCATCTAGTGAGATGTGACTTTCTGCTCTAGTACATATTTTGCTAAGTCTGCTCTATTTGAACAGAAATTTTCCTAAATATTTTTTCAGGTAATTATCTGGAGAATATGGGTGTTTTCCATTGATTCTGAATGTACTCTACAAAAGCGAGCTGCATACATTAGGAAATCTAGATATGACATCAGGAAGATCACCGCTCACGCTAGCCGTGTAGCCGTGTTATCTATCCCCCAGTAGTAGTAGAATGAAGGCAATATGCGTAGGATAAAGGCGTCTACTTAGCGATTGTTCCTGTGGGCGTGCTGCTACCGGGACGACAAATATGCTGGCCAGAGGGAGAGCTTGTAAGTGCTCTGCAACATTATGGTGGAAGATCACCACACGCTGGCCCTATCGCCCTGTTGTCTATTTCCCAGTAGTAGTAGAATGAAGGCAGTATGCATAGGATCAAGAATTCTACTTAGCGATTGTTCTTGTGGGCGTGCTGCTGCCGGGACGACAAATATGCTGGCCAGAGGGAGAGCTTGTAAGTGCTCTGCAACATTATGGTGATTTGATCGGGATGGAGTCAACCGAAAGCAGCAGGAGCACCGTATGTCGCAGAAACGGCAGGAGGGGAGCGGCTAAGAGCAGCAGAACTGTCCCTATTGGCGTTCGCGCGTTGAGTGTAGGTGTGGGGAGTGAAGCACGCAAGGATCTGAGTGTAGGTGTGGGGAGTGAAGCACGCAAGGATCTTCCATCAGCGGAATGGCCTATATGAAGTGCATATAGGCGCGTTAGGCTGCCCTACAGTCTCGTTCCCGCGTCTACAGCGTAGAACGCAAGCAGCAAACCACTTTTGGTGCAACAACTAAGGCAAACACCACATGCGACCGCTACTTTCAAAGCTACAGTGCTTTTATGCTGCTTAACTGGAAAAAGTGCTACAGATTGGCATAAACGGGATCAAGTGCGACTCTGGTTGTCGTGATGCTTTGTCTGTTTACACGTCAGCCTACTCTTCTGCTTGACAGAAATTGCATGCAGGGTTCCCTCCCTTGAGCGAAGAACTCTGGTGGTTATGCAGAGGATTATCTCGTCGTTGCTACATCCAAAACAGAACTCGTGTAGCATGGTAATACGACGGATTTCTAATTCAGTCTTTGACTTCATGCGCATATGTCTGCAACGCAAGACTTCGGTGATACCCAAGGAGTACAACGAGTTGCAGTGGAGCCGGCCTGTGAACGCAAGGCTCTGAGCAGTGTAGTCATGAGAAGTGACGATGCAACAGCCGAAACGCCTATTGGTCACGGGGTGCTAACCCTACTGGATATAGGGTGCAGATAGTGGCTGGTTTCTAATAGCTAGGGCTACCAGTTGCAATCTTCCCGCCTCCGGGACTGCGTATCTGGTGCTACGGTGAGTCAGTGGCACACCGTACGCGACGGTTGGCAGAACACTCTGCCTCTAGGGTGGGTCTTTAGCTGAGGTCCAGGATCCTCGCCGCACGTTGTACTTGACCCACATACCCTTGCCTCGACATGCCTAGGACGCCTCGCTCCAGCTTAACTTGGTTTGAGCATGTGGCAGGTGTGCCACTGTGCGAATGACGCCGCTAAACTAAGGATCCGCCACATGACTTTGGGATTTCATGTTGTCTTTGAGTCTTTGCAGGTCTTGGTGGTCCTCTACTAATTTTGAGGGAGCTCTGCTTAGGGATTTCTGTGATTCGCCAAGGTATCGCACGGTGTTTGGACGTGTCCCATTCTTTGTTCCTTCGTCTGCTTCTGCATATTACTCTTCGGCATTTTTGCTCCCGGCTTGAATGTGCAATTGATTATTCTTGGCCTTCGTTTACCCGGTACTGGCACGGGCTCAGTTCCATCGGGAGCGAAAGATGCCCGTGCACGGAGTGCGTTTCTCACGAGGGATTATCCTGTATTTTCCACATAGGCTCGTAAATACGGACGAAGACGATGGAGTTGTGTTGCTTTATAATTATTGCATCCCCACGAGTTGTGGTGTCTCAACCTCAAATCGATTGTCGCTCGATCACTTTCTCCGTGTTGAGGCCAACAGCCCCTCCCCCCGCAACCCGTTGTCTCGCCCTCGCATCTTGTTCTGTTGCAGGGTTCACGGCATCTCGCCACTATTTATTTATTCGAAGTTGAAATTTGAATGTTTAAAATAATCAGTTATTTGATCCAACCATTCCTCACTTGTGTTGCCTTCTCCGGGGAATTCCAGCGGTTGCCTTGTGGCTCGTTAAATTCGTTCGAAAAGACACAGCCTGAAGCCCAGACCTTCTGAAGAATGCCTCTTCCTTTTTTGAATTTATAACAAGCAAGGTGCATATTTAAGCATATGTAGGGAAGGTTTAGGGAATGCAGGAGGCCGCATTAGAACGGGTCCTCAGCTCACTTCGGACTCCCGTGTGACCTCACGACCCTGCGCTGCTGCTGCTGTCTCTGTTGCTGCCCTCCACTGCTTATTCCCAGTGATTGAGAGATACTGCCAGGTCCTCAGAGTATAGACGATGCACGAGACTCAAGGCGAGGCAATGTGGGGGCAGCTTGGGGGAGTCCCTCCCCATCCCGATCGCGGCTTGGAGCTGCATGGTACAGGGAAGCAACAAGGCTCTGTTGAGTTGCCTGTAGGTGGCGAATCCAACTCTTCGCTTTCATCTTTAGTCATACCCAGCCGGCATAGATGGTCAGGCAAGTGGACAGCCATCCTGACTCTGCTGCTCACCTTAACGGCAGTCGGCGTAGCTCATCGCAGAGCGAATGACGTGCTCAAGGTGTCTACAAAGACACCCGGTGAAGCTATGCCTACAGGTGGCAAAACAAAGAGGCGTAATGAGAAGCAGCCAGCACCTCTACGCAGCCGAGACTCTGTTACCGGCGCGGCATACGGGGCAGGACAGGAGTCCGTCGGAGCTCTGAATGGTGCTGAGTCCATTCTAGGATTTGATGAATCTCCAGTAGGATTTGGAGACAGGGAGACGTCTGGATATCGTGAGTTCCCCCACGCGAATTGGATGGCTCCTGCTGCGGAGTGGCATTTACCCCGGACGGAGGAGGCGGACACATCCCCAGAGGGAGTTGCTGCCCGTCGGTTTTTGGTGGAGCTTGCAACAAAGGTTTGTTCAGGAGTTGGATTTGAGAATGTGGATTCCCTCCCAACTCCTCAGGAGCGGGATCTTGCTGCTGCGGTAGCAGAGACCCTAACAATGGGACGGTCCAGTGAGCTTGTGGGTTTAGAGGTGCAGCTGGGAAACATGATGCCACTGGGGAGGGCTGTGAATCCCGTCTCCTTTATAGATCCAGTGCGGATAAACCGTATTGTGGGTTCGGGTGTATCAAGTTTATATGTGGAGGCGTATGACGAGGCGAGCGGCCGTTTCGTCACCCTGCGTCTGCATTTGGCTGTAGCAGATGATGATAGGCAGCTGTCAATAGAAGTCACTAATAGGTGGGTTGAAATTGCAATGGAAACAAGAGCCCTCGTGCTAGCCTGCGGAGACGACAGTGTATCCTGTGGAACGACGACGAGAGGTCTGCTCATTGCTGACCACGTTGGAGCCCTTGTAACGGCAGACCCCAACCATCGAGATGGAAGAATGACGATATTTCAGCGGGTTGAGGTATACGAACGGCTCGTGTCGCACTTGCTACCTCTTGCATTCTCCTTGCAATACCAGAGATCCCCCCAGGCGCTGCAGGCTAAAGCCTACATAGCTACTCGGCTCGTGCTGCAGGCTCTCCACCTCCACCAAGCGGGAGTCTGTCACAATGGGCTATCCTGGAGGAACCTTTTCATTAACCAGCAAGGCACCGTCCTCTTAGGGGGACTGGAGACACTGAAGCAAATAGGAGAAGCCCTTACCAGAAGAGACAGCCTAGACCCCCACTACGCTGATCCCAAGCTTGTTGCCGACTTTTTTGCTTCTTTCCGACAAGATATGCCTGCCTTCACGCATGAAAAGAACGATATGTGGAGTCTAGGAGTTCTATTATTTGAGCTGTTCACGGGAGAAGAACTTGACAGCGAATTCAGAGAAGGAATAACTACTGGGGCCATTACTCAAGATGAACTGGCAGAACGCCTGCAGGCAACAGGCATCTCTTCGGAGTGGAGGACTCTTGTGCAGGGCCTCCTGGAGCCGGATAGAGAACAGCGGCTTTCAGCTGAAGGAGCCGCTCGCATCTTCAGAAAGATTTGGGAGAGGAGAAAAAAGCGTGCTTAAATCGATATTCAAGTTCGAAAGCTCCATATTGTTTGACCAATATATATAGGACTTGGTGGTGGCTTATTTATTCTTACCGAGAGGCGGCAGCGGCGGCATAAGTACCCGTCATTTGCCCCCAACATACTGTAGATACACCTTCAACACACTAGGTGTCTACCACCGCATACCAGCTGAAAATACCGCCAGCTATAGGGCTAGCACGCTGCCTGGGGGCTGTGTTACCATGCCGTTGAATTTGTGCGCTGCTGATATGATGTGCTGTATTGCGGTGCTGTAGCCCCTGCAGGCCACATAGTTAGTTGTTGCGTTTTTCTTGGCGGTATTGGCAGCTTCTTGTACCCGCAGGGGTCGCATTTCTTTGTTGCTATTGACTTTACACGATTTGAACCAAATGGCGTCAAGGGCTGGGTAGCGCGAGTCTGTTTGCTTCTTGCTAGCTGTATTGCATGCAGGTAGCTCCCTAGCTGTCTCGCGTGTATGCAGCCAAAGTAGTATAGGGGGAGAGAGGCTCCCTATGCCTTCTGTGTCTGTATGGGCGCCTCATGTGAGCCGGGTAGTGAGCATGGCCCCATGTTGGAATAGTTTTCAAAACATTATCGGGGATGGTGATACAGTTATATGTATTTGAATCTACGATGTCTATATAACTTGAAGCTCCCGAGTGTTTTAGCAGGAGGATTGGCGAGTTGGAGGGCATAAAGGGCAAGGGGGTTGCCGAGTGTTAAGTGATTTGTTGAGGGAAAACATCAAATACTTTAAGTAAATTGCATGCTGCATTCATCTGAGCAATTAAATACTCCTTTGATGTATGCCTAAGAGCTAGTTAGATAAGCAAGCAGACGCTCTGAGCTGCTGCTGCTGCTGTCGGCAGCGGTCCATCCTCGCTGGCTCGCGGGCTACAGCATTTCGTGTATGGCTGCACATCTTTGTTTAAGACATAGAAATACCTTTAGTTTATTTTGCTGTTCATTTTTGTTCTGCTTGCAATTTCTCTGTTTTGGGCTGCAATACTCCTCTGCTCTACGCACACATCTCTGCATCGAGGGTGACCTGCGTTTTGTTAGACGATAAAACCGAACTACAGTTGTCACCGCCAGTAAGTTGAATAAGACCCCAGTGCATAAAAATAAAACCCAGAGTTAAATTATTATTAATTCTTTTTTACTATTGTATTGTTTACTCTCTTGGTTTCTCCTTCCTTGATGTTTTTCAGGAGTTCCTCGTCCTTTGCCTTCTGCGCCCTGTCGCTAGCTCACAGGCACCCCGCCAGTTTAATAATTGTTGTTATCCCGAGTGTCTGCTATATACAGCTCAAGATGGAGTCAAGTTCTGTGGTACCGAAGAAACTGGAGTTCCCAGGGCAGAGGAGGAACGTGGGCCTTCGTATATTGACTCTGTTGTATGCAGCTCTCTCTGTTTATCTAATGACGCAAACAGGACAGCCCGCCAGCAGCCCTACGTACCCCACAGCGCTTTCTTTGATAACTGCTACGAATTCCTTTGCCCTTATTGGCAGCATTTTAGGTTTTCTCGTGACCCTCCCTGCATGCATGCAGAAAACCCTGGCGAGTCTAACGGTGTTATCCTTCACCGTCTCTTTCTTCCTCGCCATTGCCTCTGTTCTCGCAGTCTTCTTCAGCTTCTTCAGCATCTACTGGATCGTATTCACCGGCATCCACATCTTCTGCTCCATGGTGGCAGTTGGCGCAGCCTATGCGCAGTTTAGAGGCATTGCGACTCAGGAACACCTCGAGGAGACAGTCCCCATTGCTGCGTCTCTTCCAAAGGTCACAGAAGCAGTCTAACAGCAGCCTTTAGCAGCAAATAGGCACAGTCCATCGTCAGCGTTTAGTGTTTAGGGAGTTTTTTTTGTCATGGGTTTGTTTGTGCATCTTTGTTCAATGGCCCTTCTCTGGGCTGTATGCACTCTGCATTTATTTTGTCAATCCTGATTCGTCTCTAACTAAAAAAACAAGACACCCCGAGGAGGGCCATCTAAAGCCCCAGCGAACGCTGTGCATGCATTCAGCAGGTGCAGGCAGTATATAGCGACGTAGGGAAGCCGTGGTTGGACCTTGAAGCCAGCAGCAAAATTGTGCCTGCAGCAGCAGCTGCAGTAGGAGCAGCAGCAGCTGCTGCTGGTTCTCCTGATTGAGCCTCTTAATGCAGATTGATCATTTTTAGTTTTTATAGAACCAAAAGGTTAATTTTTATAGTTATGCACCTGAGAAAAGTGCACGGAGAGAGAAAAAGGGAAAATGGAACATAGACAAAAAGTGAGAGGAAGGAAGAAAAGGAGTTAAAGAAAGAGAGTAATGGAAATAAAGAGAGAGAGATACTGAGGGAAAAAGAAAGAAAGAAACAAAAAAAGAACGACTCTCTCTCTCTCTCTCTCTTCCTCCCTCTCTCTCTCTTCCTCCCTCTCTCTCTCTTCGTCTTATGTTAATCCCACCTCTTCCTCTGTGAGAATTTTCGAATTTATTTTTTCGAACTTTGCAATAAAAAAACCGATAGTCAGTCCACTTGGACAGAAACGTTGTGTGCGTATTTGGGGTATTTGCTGCTGCTGCTGCTGCTGCTGCTGCTGTTGTTGTTGTTGTTGTTGCTGCTGCAGAGGGTAGAAGAAGGGTGTAGGCGTTGTTAATACTAGAGGGAGATGCTGTGTCGCCCATAGAACATTTTCTTCATTCTCTGCCCATGTAATTGAGCAAGTAGAGTATACAAGTATGCCTTTTTCTTTAAGGAAATTGCACCCCCTAAGAAGGAATTTTCTTTGATAGGCAGCAACAGCAGCAAGAGAATGTATATCTATATCATCTCCTATAAGACGTGGTCTTAGTCCTAATCCGCTACAAGGTACATCAGCTAATACTCTATCGAATATACCATTAAGAGTATTTGCTGCACCTAAGGAGCATATCCATTGTGCTTTTGTACTATCTGCATGCACTACTTCTACTATACCAGCCCCAAGTTTATCTAATAATTCCCTTGTTTCTTTTGCTCTTTTACCACTCCTCTCTACTGCTACTATATACCCTTTATTATTCATTAATGCTGCTATATGCGATGTCTTATGACCAGGAGCAGCACACATATCTATTATTCTCTCTCCTTCCTTAGGGGACAATACATAAGAAACAAACATAGAAGGAATCTGCTGCGCTATTAAGGACACAGGTAAACCTGATAAATTGCAAGACCTGCAGCAGACACACACATAAATAAACAAATAAATAACTAAATAAATAAATAAATAAGTAAATGTGTACAAAAATTATATATACAAAAATTATATATACGATTTTATATACTAATGGGATATATGAGCAGACACGCATGCAGGCAATGACAGCTAAAAGACTGCTACTGCTGCTACTGTTGCTGTTGCTGCTGCTAGGAGGCTGCTGCTGCAGAAATGACTATAAGGGCTGCGCATCACGTATAAAGTTCGACTGCCCGTCAACTCCACGTGCATGCATGCATGCAAGCAGCAGCACTGACTAGAGACGCAGACAACCAAACAGCAGCAAGACTTGTTTGTAGTGTATATACAAGACAGTGTGTATATCTATTTTGTGTCTATTGGGGTGTACGTACACCTCCATTCTTATAGCAATTCCTTCCCCTATATTAAATACATCTTTTAGTGGTTGCTCTAGTATACCTTTACCGCAACAAATACCCCATTTCTTTATTTCTTCTTTATCCTCTTCTTCTATATATGCTCCCCTAAGGATAGAAAGGATGCGCATGCGTGCAGCAGAAGCAGCAGCAGTTGCAGCAGCAGAAGGTCCTGCTGCTGTATCTGCTGCTGTTGCATTGCTGCTGCTGCTGCTGCTGCTACTGCTGCTGCTACTGCTGCTGCTTAAACGAAAGGGACGAGGCACTACCCATACAGACACCGTAAAACCCTTTTTTATTCCCCTCTCTGCTGCCAATACACCCCGACAAAATACATGAGAGCCACGCAGCACAGACTGCCCGCAACGGGGCCCCACAAGTATCATGGGGGGCCCCTCGCTAGGAGAAGGGGGCCCCCCCGATGAGGTAGGCAGCTGCTCAACGTCTTGTAGAGAGGAGGATACAGGAGATGAAGACTCCGCAGCAGCAGCTGCAGCAGGAAGAGCACCTCCTCTGTCCTTCTCCCTTAATGCTGCAGCAGGTGCTGCAGCAGCAGGTGCTAAGGCAGCAGGGTGCGGCCAAGGGAAGATGAGTAGATCGGGGAAGTTGGGGTGTATGTATCCCTTTAGTCCTGTATATGCCTCTGCCTCCTTTAGTGCTGCTGCGGTGTCTGTACACCTGAGTGTATTAACACGTAAAGAAATAAGAGGAGGGGGTTTAAGGAGAAAACTTAAAAAAGATTCAAATGAGGAAAAAGAAGAAGAATCATAAGGGCAATGCAACTCGAGGTGTCTGTACACCCCCGGACATAACATATCTTTAATACTAAAAAAAGATTTCTTCTCCTCCTTCTCCTCCATTGTTGCATGCAGTATAAGACGTAGTAGAGAATATTGTTATATTAGTGGGAAGCCCCAAAGCAGCTGCTGCAGCCAGCGCATGCATGCATGTATGCATGCATGCATGTACGGATGCATGCGTGCATGCATGCGTTTCAAGCCCCAAAAAGTGACGGACTTCTATTGGTGGTTGTGTGCTGCTTCTCCTCTTCGACGTCTCTTCTATCTTTGCCCCTCCCTTCACAGCCTAGATGCCGATCCTCACCTATTTTATCCTTAAATGGGTAAAATAGAATATAAATAGCATCTAAATAAATTGAATAACTCAATAACAACATGGGACCACAGCAAGAGTAAGAAGCAAAACACCCAGAGGGCGTACTTCCATACGCACAATAGCCCGACGGTCTAGGGTTTAGGGTTTACGGTTTACGGTCTAGGGTTTAGCATTCAGGACCCCTTCAGGTGAAGCATTAACCCATCTGAATAACATCAACTGAAAACCGAAAGGGCCCCTGGGGGGGCCCCCCAAGTGGGCCCCTTGGTAGAGGGGCCCTTGACCGAGTCCTGGTGTGTGTGTGTGTCGGCGGAGGGGCCCCGTGCGCAGGTGTTGGCGCTGGTGATTATCCATTCTTCTTTTTGCATTTTTTCGATCCTTTGATAAATATAATACATTTATTTAAATTTTTATTTCCAAAATTGCATCAAATGAGCTGCCATAGGCACATATAGCAGCAAAAGAGCTACGTCTTTGGGGCCCCCCGGGGGCCCCCAACACCTTCGAGACTGAACCTTGTTGAGTGCCCATGAACCCCTTCGCTCTCTCTGGGGGCCCCGGGCCCCTTTACGAGCCCAGTGTGTACGAGACAGAGAGGGCTGTTGTTCCCCGTCCCATAGGTGGGAGGCGCCCCTCGACCAGTTGCACGAGACGTGTCTCTGGTGTATATAATTCGGGGGCCCCTGATTTCGCACTATCCTCTTCTGTGGGCCCCGCTGGGGTCGCCCAAGGACTTCAACCCAGGAGATTCCCTGAGAACAGTCCCAATGGGGGCCCCTCCGGGGGCTCCCACCAGAGGGGCCCCCCTGGGGGCCCTTTTGTGGGTGGAGGTCAATTAGATCATTTATTATGTTCAATTGTATTAGCAAAGAATGATAGATCTCGTTTGTCTGCTTTGCAGACATTAGAGGCAAATTGCGAATATCTTTTGTATGATACACAGAGGTTGCATGCAGCATTTGTTGTATTAGATGCTGTTGTATGTAATTGTAGTTCATTTAGATTTAAAGGGAGAGGAAGAGGAGGAAATGTTCGGAGAAAAGGTGCAGCAGGAGAGACAGCAGAAGGGAAAGACAAACAAACACAACAACAACAGCAACAGCAGCAACAGGGGGCACCAGGTGGGGGAACCCAGCCACAGACGGGAGGGGGGCCCCCAGACGGGGGCCCCACAGAGGGGCCACTTGAACCGCACACGGACGAAGGAGGGAATACACTGCATGCAGCAGAAGCAACAGCAGCAGCAGCTGCTGCAGCACTGGCAGCAGCAACAGAAGCAGACCTTACGGGTGCATCTGCTGCTCCTCCTCAATCAGGAAGTTTAAAGCCTCTTTCGGGTTTGCAGCAGCAACAACAGCAGCAACAAGAACAGCAGCAGCAGCAGCAGCAGCAGCAAGTGACTTCCTCTCGTGCCTCCATAGACAGTTCTTCTCCTGGTAGTCCGCCTCCAAGCCGTAGCGATTTATCTGCGTCTCCTGACCCCCCTGCTCCGGCTGCCAACAGCAGCAGCAAGAAAAACAGCAACAGCAACAGCAACAGCAGCAGCAGCAGGAGCAGCAGGAGCAGCAAAAGATCTTGGGGTTATCCTTTACCTCGTGGCTTAGAGACAAAAGAGACGCTGTCTCCTCTAGATGCAGGAATATTCTTCCCTCGTCCCTTCTCTGTCTTATCACGTTTATTATCCCTACAGACATGGGTATCTATAGCTACAACTATTAATTGTCTCCTTGTGTCTCCTCAGTGGCTGCAGAGACTTGTGGGGCTGCTGCATGCACTTGCTGCCAGCAACACTGCAGCAGCACCACAACCTATTCGTTCTTATGCATGCATCTGTCTTGAGGAACTCGAGCTCACCTTTCCAGGTAAAAGGAGACAAAGGACACAAAGGGGACAAAAGAGGCAAAGGAGACACTTTTATTAACAACAACCAACTGTCTCCTTCTTGTGGCGTAGCAACAGACATTCATAACATTCAATGTTGCACGGATACAGTCCTTTTCTATCCCCTGTTGCTGTTGCTGCTGTTGCTGCTGCTGCTGCTGTCTCCTCAGGTCTACTGTCTCCTTTCTTGGGTAGTGATGGATTTGGAGACCCTTCTACTGTTACAGGCGTGGGGCCCCTTCAGTTTGGCTCGGCTGCATCCTGGGGGGTACCGCCTGGGGGCCCCTCTGGGTGCCCCCCTATTAGTCCCTTGGGGGCCCCTGATGGCCCCTTCTTTCTAACGGATATTGTACAACGAGAAGCAACATGGGGTGCAGCAGACGCCCCCGCCATGCTGCTGCTGCGGTGTATCCGTCATTACTGTGAAGGGACAGTGTGTGAGGGGCAGCTAGCGAGGGAGGAGACACAAAGGAGACAGCTAGCAGCAAATACTCTTACTCAAGAAGACACCTCACTAGACACTCAAGATGCTGTCTCTTCTTCCTTCCCTCCTGCCCCTACAGAAGGAGACGAGCAAGAATTGGGATCTTGGCTTAAGACAGGCACGCAGGATGCCTTGTCAATGCAGGGGGCCCCCTGGGGGCACCCCGGAGGAACAATGGGTCACGTGCAAGGAACTTTCCCAGGAAACCTCCATTATACAAGTAGGTAGAACTATGCGGCTGCCTCAAGACCCTCCAGCAGCAGCAACAGCAGCAGCAGCGGCAGTCTGATCATCATCAGCAGCAGTAGCTGCTGCTGATGATAGCGGTAGCACCTAACAATTACTGGATTTGTGTTGCATGCGTTGCGTCCTCAGTCCCTTTTGTTGGGGTGTCTCCTGTCCCCCTCCCGGCCATAACCCTCACTGGAAGCAGCAGCAGCTGCAGCAGCACTAACTGTTGCTGCAGCAGCAGCAGCAGCACGGATGGGTATATGCGTCCCCCTCGTCTCCTGCGCCCCTTAACTGTTTCCTTAAAGAATACCCTGTCTCTTGTCTTAGATGGTGTATGGGGTTATGGCGATTGGGCACAACTCTCCCTCTGCATGCATCTTGCTTTCTTTTCCCGGTAAGGGCCCCTGCTGCTGCTGCTGCTGCTGCTGCTGTAACAGCTGCTGCTGCTGGTCCTATAACATCTGCTTCTGCAGTAGCTGCTGCTGCTGCAATAGCAGCTGCTGCTGCAGCTAATGTGTGCGTCTCTATTCAGTCTTCTTTGTTTACCGGCATATTCTTCTTTATCTACATTAATGCCTCTTGTTATGTCTTCCCGTCTACACCTGCTGCATGCATGGGCCCTCCTTGCTGGGGCCCTCGGCACTCCTGCTGCAGCAGAGGGCCTCCCCACAGGTACCCTGCAGGGGCCCCCAGGAGGTACCTTCCTCGCAGCTCCGGGGGGGCCCCAAACCCTCTTGCTAGAAGAGAGGCTAAGAGGACTTGTATTAGATCAAACCCTTGCATGTCATTACCGCGTCCTCTGCATAAGGTACCCTAAACCCTAAACCCTAAAACCCCCCCTGTGCTGTCTTAGAACAGTGCTTCTATTGCTAGGGCTACGGGTCCTACAAACCCTAGTTTAGGGTTTAGGGATAACATCTAGGAGACACGCTGCATGCAAGGGTTTGGGGTGTATGCGCAGGTGGTATTTAGCACTGCAGCAGCACCCGCGGTTTGCTGCTGCATTTGCTGCAACATCTCCGTCAATATTCTGCCCTTCTGCAGCAGATCCTCCAGAAGTAAAGGAGCAATTGCTGCAGGCATTGCTACTGCACTGCAGCAAGAGCAGCAGGGGGCCCCCCTCTAACCTATTCGATGTATGCGGGGTCCTCTATGAGTTCCGATCTGTACAGAGGGCCCCCGAGGTGCATGCGCTTGTCTTTAGATTTTTATTAAGAAGTATATTAAAGCCCCAACTTGCAACCCCACAACTACATAAATTCCTATGCGAACACCTCAGGTAATGCATGCATGCATGAATGCATGCATGCCAAAGGCGCCCCTCAATTGACACCACAGCAAGTGCTCCTTAGTAGCAGCAGCTGCAGCTGCTGCTGCCGCTGCCGCTGCAAGAACTACAACGTGAACAGCAGCAGTAGAAGCAGCAACAGAGGCAGGTGCGGTGTTGTTGGTTGCTGCTGTGTGTACAGGTGCCACCCTGTAGAGTTGGGCCCGAGCGTGTTGCTGCTGCTGCATCACGCCTCTCGCGCTGCTGCAACTGCGGCAGCAGCAGCATCTGCTGCTCCTCCTGGTGCTGCTGGTGCTGAGGCCGCAGTACCGATGTCTTGTGTCTGTCAATCCTTGCTGCTGCCTCTAGCACACTTCTTGCATACACTAGAGCCAGCAGAGGATTTAGTTTGCTTCTCTCCTATCCTCTTTGAGCTGTCTGTACACCCCGCGATAGATCCGCAGCATTTGCTGCCTATATTAACGCGTCTTAGTTTTGCTGCAGCAGCAGCAGATAACGGAGACAGACACCGCAGCTGGCTTGCTGCTCTTTGTCTCCTTACTGCAACAAAACAGGTAACTGCAGCAGCTGTCCTTACCCATATTACCCTTCTACCTTCTCTTAAAGGTAATAAAGCAAACTTTCCCTGCACCGCCATGCTTCTGCTGCTGTTGCTGCTGCTGCTGCAGCTGCTGCTGACACACAAAGGAAGCAGCGAGGTACGTGAAGGAGTAGTCAGTCTCCTGCAAACTGTCGCCATGGGGGCAGGAGGGTTCGATACAAGACAAGAAGCACAGCTGCTGCTCAGGGCACTCAAGAATGCTAGCCCTAGTGCTCTCAGTACGCTGATGCTGCTGCTGCTGCAGTTGCTGTTGCCGCTGCTGTTGTTGCTGCGGTTGTTGCTGCTCTCTTTCCGGCTGTTGTTGCTGCTGGTGCGGTTGCTGCAGGTGTTAAGTGCATATGCTGCTGCTGCTGCTGCTGGGTGCGAATGATGATGGTCATGCTCTGGTCTGTGCTGCCGAGGCCACCTGGACCTTTTGTTGCCTCATTTGCTGCGTTTGCTGCTGCTGCATTTGCTGCTGCTGCTGCAGTGGCCTTGTTGACTCCTGGGGGGGAGAAGCTCGTACCGCTTGTTGAACGCTATCTGTCGCATGTCTCACCACCACAGCATCGGTGAGCTGCGGACCAGCAGCAGCAGCAGCAGCAGTAGCAAACGGTGCTGCTGCTGCTCCGCCTTGTGTGTCTGTGCAACCAGACTCTGCGCTCCTCTGGAGGCTTTAGCTGGACATTCATTTAAACTCTTGTGTGCGACAGTTCCATGCAAACTCTAAACCCTAAACCCTAAACCCTCGGCGCTGTCTCTGGTCTCCCACAGGTTTAATGGATTCGTACCCTTTCTGTCTCTATTCAAGTCTACAAAAGAGAGACGACTCCTCTGTGGTCTACAAGACGAGCAGTCAGCTTTCTTTCTTACCCCTAGGGGCCCCTTAGAGGGGGCCCCCGACACATTCCTCTGGGAAGGAGGCCTAGGGGCCCCTCAGGCCTCACATAGCACTACCCAGGAAGAAACCCTATATGAAGAAAAGGAGACAGCTTACTTTCAAGCAGTGTATGATGAGGTCCATGGGGAGGCCGCCATTGAGGTACCGCTGTTGCTACTGCTGCTATTGTTGCTGCTGATGCTGCTGCTGTTGGGAATGTGACAGTGTTGGTTCTTGTGTCAGCTGCTGCGCGTCTTCTATCTATCTGGCTGCTTCAGGCTCTGACCTACGGTGGGGCCCCCAAAGTACTAGAAGTCCCCTGTGAGGGTTTTGGGGGCCCCTATGGGAGTTTGAGAGCCCCTTCTGCAGTAGAGGCGTATTATGACTTTGTAGCCTCGCATTCTTTTTCAGTGTGTCTCCCCTTCCGTCTAAGGGCCCTGGCGCCACCCAATGGGGGGCCCTGCAACCCTTTGGGACCAGAGGTCTGTCAGGGGCCCCCCTACGGCACATCTATACAGGTAGCCACTCAAGGAGACTGCCCTGCTGCTGGGGGGCCCCATAAGCCTTTCTGGTTAAGTACCCTGTATGCAGTAGAGCTTTTCTTCTCTCGTTCTCCTTCTTACCAGCCTCTCTCTAGTGTATGTATACCCTTTTTGCAATGCCCCCTTTGGGGTCCCCAAGGACGGGGGCCCACTGGGGGCCCCCAAGATGAAACGGGGGGCCCCTTAACAGACAAAGAAGAAGAAATTCTGAGGAAAGCTGCTGAAGACGCATTTCCCTTCGACTATGAAATAATCCTTAAGTACGAGCAGCAGCAGCAGCAGCAGCAGCAGCAGCAAGAACATAAGCAGCATGTTATTTTTTTTTTTTTTCTGCATGCATGCATGCCTGCATGCGTATATTTAGGTTGGAGCCAATAGAGCCAGAGCCGACGGTATTCTCTGTGGAGACACATTTTACGGATAGCCGAGGGACAACTTATACAGGTTCTCTGTCTCCTTTCTCTGTCTCATTTCAAGACCTATTCTTACCAGTTAGACACCAGTATAACATCCCCTATAGCTGCTGCTGCTATTGCTGCTGCTAGGGGCTGCTGCTGCTGCTCTTGTGCGGGGTGCTACTGCTTGTGCTGCATGCAGTGCATGCACTGTATGCGTGTGATGTTGGGGCTTTTAGATCTGCGCACCTCCGCCATTTAGGGCGATCCTCTTCAACGCCATTTGGACGCGACCAGACGTAGCCAAATCAGTAAAGGTACGCTAGGGTTTAGGGTTTAGGGTTTAGGGTTTAGGGTTTAGGGTTTAGAATTTAGGGTTTAGGGTTTAGGGTTTGAGTGTGTAGGGTTTGTGTGTGTGTGTGTGTGTGTGTGTGTGTGTGTGTGTGTGTGTGTGTGTGTCTGTGTGTGTCTGTGTGTGTGTGCATGGTGTACAGACACTCGACGTGGAGAGGGAGGTGGTGCTGCAGATGATAGAGATGTCATTAAAACCTTTTTTAATTAGTAATTATCTTCCTGATGAAACAGAAGAATTCGATTTCTCTAGGGTGGGGCTTTTGCATGCAGTGGCTGCATGCAGTGGTTGCATGCACTGGTTGCATGCAGTGTCTGCATGCAGGTGTGTGCATGCGGTGTCTGCATGCAGTGTCTGCATGCGATGCATGCACCGCCTTCTGCAGCTGCTGCAGCTGCTGCTACTGTCTATCTGTGCATGCATGCAGGACAACTCTATGCAAGAGGCGAAGGAGGAAGGATCCCCAACAGGGTCTTGCCGTCCCTTCTGTATGGGGGCCCCCCCTCTTGGGGTGTCTAACCTCTCAGGGGGCCCCACAGACAGCCCCCCTGCTGGTGTCCGTGAGCATTCTGGTATAGAGGAAAGACAGCAGCAAACCCCAGCAGCAGGAGACTCAGCAGCAGCAGAAACCACAGCAGAAGCAGCAAGAGACGCAGCAGCAGCAGCAGGAGACGCTGCAGCAGCAGCAGGAGACGCTGCAGCAGCAGCAGGAGACGCTGCAGCAACAGAAGAAGAAGAGGAACCTTTTTATCCTCAATATGAGGAGGTGTTTGTAGATCAATACTTTGAAGGACAAGTACCCTATGAAGAGATCCTTGAGGGTTGCAAGGGCCCCCCAACAACAAATGAATGGGGGGCCCCTTCCGGGGGCCCCCCTCCTCGGGGGCCCCCTATTGATACCCTGCATGCATTAATATTTCTTCCCCCTCGGTACCACTTATTGTTTAAGTTTAATGTTGCTAATAAAACAACAATTGTTCGCTGTGCTACGGATAGATGGGAGGCCCTTGGGTACTTAGAGGCCTTCTTCTCTAAGACATTTGCTCTTGCTCTTGCAGCTAGGGGGGCCCCTAAACAGGGGGCCCCTAAACAGGGGGCCCCTATAGACGGGCGAGGACCTGTTGAGGGGGCCCCTACGGATGGGCGAGGCCCTGTTGAGGGGGCCAGTAGAGAGGGGCGAAGCCCCGTTGAGGGGGCTTGTGGAGACGGGGCAGGCCCTGCAGAGGGGGCCCCTGGGGAAGTGGGGGCCCCTGTAGGGGGGTCTCCACTCCTTTCTTTCGAACAGTAAAAGTGGGGCCCTTAGAGGAGGGCACAACCTTCCCTTCTAATCTCTTTTCTTTCCCTAGCCATATATATGATTATATTTTATTTGTATTCATTTATATTTATTTATATTTATATATACATATATATCTACATTTTTCTGCTGCTCCTCTATACTACTTACATGTGTTCCTTTTACTGCTTTTTACCCCTTTGGAGCTCAATACAACAATCCTATACCTACTAGAGTACCCGTGGGCCCCTGAGGCCCGGGGCCCCCCCCTAAGGGTACTCCTGACAGCAGGTGGATCTAACTAGGTACAGGTGCTAATAGTATGACTTTGGAGGCCCCTGATTACGGGTTACAAGGAGGGGCCCCCATAAGACAGTTTTCTCGGTGGGCCCCCTCTTTAGTTGGTGGGGGGGCCGCATTTAGTTGTAAAGGGAATTGTTTATATGCAGAGGTGTAAAAAGGCGAAAGGAAGAAGAAAAAGTAAATGTTGTGAATAAGAAGAAAAGGTATTTTTATTACACTAGCCAATAGCTTTCTCTATGCCTTCCTTTCTTATGTCATTTAGTGTTGTAGGTAAGAAGGCTTCGCATTAAGTACTGTAGTTAGTTATATCCCTACAAGGAAGAAGGCAAAAATACACTTCTTTTGTTGTTATTTTACGGAAGAAAAAATGAGAAAAAAGAAGAAGAAAGAGGAGAAAGCGACGAGAAAGGAATGGGTACCACTGGACTCGGCGGGTGTCTGCGGAGGTTAAGAGAGGACGAGTGGCACAGTATTGTCTCTTTTTCTGAATTAGACCGTAAAAAGATCGATTTATTTAATTAGACTGTATTTTATTATTGTTTTAGGGTTTAAATAACTAAAAAAGGCCATAAAACGCTGGAAAGCGGACCCCCTAACTCCCCTGTGCTGTGTCCACCGGGCTTGCACGAGGATATTTGGGTGTACGCACAACTCTTATTCATGTTTGTGCTCTTTTTCTTCGTTTGTTCGCCTTGAGGCATTCGTATAAATGTTTATTTATTCCTTTGAGGCATCCTAAGCAGCGAATTAGCTGCCACCAACACAAGTATATCTGCTCTCTCTTGCATGCACACCGTGTTGTGCCTCCAAACCTTCTCTTCTTTGTCTTTCCTTCCCTAATCGGACTCTTCTTGGCTCTTCTTTCTTTATTATTTATGCATTTATTGACTTAAATAAGTTATACTCTACTTACGCAGCGATTCAAGGGGCCCCATAGGTACAAGTACCCTCGAAACCCCCTGCTGCTGCTGCTGCGCACACAGGGGCCCCCCAGCCTTCTACCAAACACCATACACAGCACCACCTATGCCTTCTCCTCCAGGGGCCCCGTCAGGGGCCCCTTTAGGGGCCTCTTCAGGGGCTCCCTCCTCTAAGAGCTCCTCTTCCCCTCCTCAGGACCCCCCAGCCAATGGTTGCCATGAGGAAGGGGGGCCCCCCAATGGCAGCGCCGGGGGGTCCTCCCCTTCTCTGTCTACTAGCGATGGGTCTCGTCGCGACTGCAGTCCTCCTGGGGCCCCCTCATCTTCTCTTAATAATTCTTCTTTGTCAAAGGAGTCTCCCAAAGTTCCCTCTAAGGGCCTCCAAGAGAGAAAAGGGAGAGCAGCAGCAACAGCGGGGGGCCCTAGAGGTGGGGGCCCCCAAGGAGGTTCATCTATGGATGATTCTGTTATCCCGATAAATTCCCGAGGATACAGGGGAGGTGCCTCTCTAAGCCACAGGGGCCCCCGTGGCGGCCACCGGGGGGCCCCCCGTGGGGGCCCCTCTCAAGCCCCTGGTTTCCACTATGCTGCTGCAGATCGTGAGGTGTACGTACACCTCACAGATGATGATTCAGATGTTAGCAGCACAGAGGAAGGAGGGGGAAGGATAAGATATGTAGGGTACGTAAGATCTAATGAGGGCCCCTATAGGGGCCCCTCCATAGGTGGTCCGTATGGGGGCCCCCATGGGGGCCCCCAAGAGGCCCCCCAGCAAAGGGGCTCCCTGTGGGGCCCCCGAAGTATGGTATGTAGGAGGAGGATAGAAAGGGCAATAAATTGCATGCATGCATATATAAATTTAATAATAAGAAGGACGTCCTTAGGTCTTCGTTTTTTGTTGTTTTCTTTGCGTAAGAACGAAAGACAATTAAAAATAATATTATATACAGCAGGTCTTCTTATTTCCTCTACGGGTAATACAATTAGTTTTAAGTAAGTAATTAATTAAGGGGGACGGAGGGTTTAGGGTTTAGGGTTTAGGGTTTACTTGCTTTTATTGGGTTTGGATTTTAAAAAATATCTTTTTTTCTATGTATGATGAAGATATGGTTTTTTCAGGGTTTAGGGTTTAGGGTTTAGGGTTTAGGGTTTAGGGTTTTGTGTGATATATACAGGCGTATGTTGGATAAAATGCCCAATTATTCAGGGTTTTTAAATCAATTAACTAATTTTGTATTTATACCCATCTTTGCTGCTTTATGTCTTTATCAGTACTTTGTTGGCAAACTGTCACAGGTAATTAGGGTTTAGGGTTTAGGGTTTAGGGTTTAGGGTTCTGATTTACAGTGTTGCTAGCCCCCAACAAACCAAAGAAGCATCACTGCCTTTCAAGACTGCCGGTGTCACGGAGTATGTTTTTAGTAGGTATTTGCAGATTAGGGTTTAGGGTTTAGGGTTTAGGGTTTAGGGTTTGGGTGTCTTCAGGAGGTGCTTAGCTTCCCCAAGAAGAACTTTGCCCTAATGGGTTCTCTTGATGGTGTTTGTGGTATTATGGCGGTTGTTGGAGGTGTCCATACTTCAGGTATTTAGGGTTTAGGGTTTAGGGTTTAGGGTTTAGGACTTAGGGTTTGCTGCTTTGCAATAATAAGTTTAGTGTTTTTCAATGAATTAGGGTTTAGGGTTTAGGGTTTAGGGTTTATGAGGTTGTGGGGTCGGTGTATCGTAGGGACGGCACAAGTGGTTTTATCTCAGCTAGGCATTCCTGTTATGCTTCTTCTTTGTCGTTTTATGCTTGGCAAGAGGTACGTCATCTAGGGTTTAGGGTTTAGGGTTTAGGGTTTAGAGTTTAGGGTTTAGTACAACTTAAGCATAAAAGTTTATGACCATTGGCTTTATTTTGTATATTTGACCATCAGCAGGTCAAATATACATTTCTATTTCAAGGGTTTAGGGTTTAGGGTTTAGGGTTTAGGGTTTAGGGTTTAGGGTTTAGGGTTTATGTATATATATTTAGGTACAATATAATTCAACATATAGGTGCAGCAGTAATAATATTTGGGGTTTTAGTTGTTGAGAGTCCCGGCCTATTGCATCCAACAAAAGAAGATAATAGTAATTCTCCTTTTTTTAATTTATTATTTCTTCTATCTATACTCGTAAACCCTAAACCCTAAACCCTAAACCCTAATAAACCCTAATAAACCCTATCTATATATCCCCGAACCCCAAACACTAAATGATAAACCCTAAACCCTAAGAATATGTCCCTAGACCCCAAACCCTCTGTCCATAAATCCCTAAACCCAAACCCTAAACCCTAAACCCTAAACCCTTAAAAAAAAATACATAATTATGTCTTTTTTTTTTCTTTTTTGTGCAGCCAAGCAGTTTATCTTATGTAGTAAAAGAAGTAGCCTTCCGAGGGTTTGCAATGAATACATCTTTCTTGCAATTTTGGGTAGCTCTCTTCCAATTCTTTGTAGGGTTTGCTCTTCTTCCTCTTACCTCTCTTCCTTTACTTGGTAAAGGTAATTAATTATATTTTATATACTTATATTCAAACCCTAAACCCTAAACCCTTATTTTTAATACACCAGTAATACTATACACTATTTTCTTGATGTATAACTATTCACGAATATTCAGGGCATGTATGAAGGGTTTAGGGTTTAGGGTTTAGTGTTTTAGGGTTTAGGGTTTAGGGTTTACCCGTTTTTGTCTCTGATCATTTAAATTTTTAATTAACCAATTAATAAATTAATAAATTTATATATATTTATATTTATTTATATTTATTTATATTTATTTATTTATTTATTTTTTTTTTTTTTTTTTTTTTT